AATCAGCTGTAATTAACTCCAGAGTGTTTCCAGATTGCCAGCAAAGAAAAATTACAGCTTTTCTGTTTTAAATTGTAAAGCTCACAAACATTAACTATGCAGATTGCTTTTTACTTTGATATATTTCTATCCTGCAAGGGAAAAAAAAAAAACAAACAGAAGCTTCTATGACTCCCCCCCACCCCAACATCTCTGAAAACCTGCTTTTGTTAAGTTATTTGATTTAGCGTCTATTGGAACATAACGACCCCTTCATAGTTGGGTTTGAACTCTTTTTTCTTAATATTTTCAGTCCTTTGACATCCGCGTATTTGCCTTCCTTCTTGCTAACGTTTTAAATACTGCAATGGGGAAGAAGTTATGCAATCTTTTATGGACTACTAAACATATCCTAAAATAAGCCAACTGCAGCGAAAGCTGACTAAAGCCAACCACCGACAACCAACTTAAAAGACTGAGATCAAAGATGGATTCTACACAGGTACTTTACCTGGGTTTTGATATATCAAAAGAGAGACTGTGAAAAAAGGCCAATTTCGCTACCCTCTTGTCTTGGTCAGCACACCACACCCTTCTAAAAGCTTTAGTACAGTAGTTTGTAATTATGAATTCCAACACGGGTGAAAACGAGGTAGCAGTGTGAGCTAATACAGCCTAGGACACAAAAGATCTGTCAGTAACTGATGCAAAAAAAAAAAAAAAAGTCCAGCCAAAAATCTTTTTTTTTTCTTTCTTCTGAATTTAACAATAAGGAATTTAAGCTTCAATGTGGCTTTAGCAACCAAAGAAAAGAAGCTCTTGGTGTCTGCATAATACCACTTTGATGGATTTTTTTCATCAGTTCTCTGTACGTGGCAACAAATAAACAAGTATAATTATACTTGTGAAGGTCTATTCATTGCTTTGTCAGGATTAGATATATGTGCCGTTTTCACACTGCGCCTCTCTTTTGTCTTTGCCTAACTCACTATGACATATTGATAGAGGATTTGGAATGGGGAAAAGGCCACAGCAGAGACAGTGGTGACCTTCTGGAAACTTGATATAATTCAAGGATTTTTATTTATTTTCTATATATATATATATTTACACACATATAATGTATATATATATTTAGGATTTGTAACGTGTTACCAAGTTCTCTTGTAGGTGGACAACTTTTAACCCATTTAAAATGGAATAAATAAAGATGCAAAGTCCTATGTGATGGCGAGAGAGCAGATGAGAATAAAAACAATAGGCGGAGGGGCACAGTGGTCTTCTTTCCCAGCCCTTAGCAGAGTGGCTAACCTAGCATTCCTTTCCCATTATCCTGTCCTCCTGATCAGCTCACGTTCTTTTTAATCATTTCACAAACACCGCTTCACGGTGCCAGAGGAGAGGACTGGGGCAATCTCAATTAAAAGACTGAGGTAAAACTGGCCTCTCTGATTTGGGGTTCTAATGGGAACTCTGCTTTCTGAATGCAAAGGAATGCTTCTATTGTTCAGAAAGCACCCCCCTTTCATTAGCCAGGCTCCTTGTAGGTGGGTTTGGTCATTTAGCAGAGCAGAGTTTAGGCAGCAGTGACTGCGGGACGAAAGCAAGGCAGAAGGAGCAATAAAAGTTCTTTTCTGCATGTTGTCCATTAGTTCCGAAAAAGGGATTTACATGATCAAAGTCACTGCTTTTGTGAATTACTGAGAATACCAAAAAATGTGTACACGTATTCTAAGCAGACCAGCAGGTATGTATTGTTCTGAATTTAGCATTAAAATAATGTTAGTTTTTTCTCTCTGGGAATTTCTTGAGAACTTGGGTGAGGTTTTAAAATATAAAATGTTTAGCAGGAGAGAATAGAAATTGGTGAAGACTAAATAGAAAGCAACTTAAATGGTGAAGCACCTTCTATAGTGAGTTTACTTGCTATGCAGTCATTTCGTAATGAATTCTGTGATTTAAATTAAATGGTTGTCTTTGTGGTCTTTTAACTGGGACTGATAAACTTTAGTGTAAATTTCCTAAATGGATCACTTTGATAAAAGAAAGATCTTGTCTGACACTGATGACAGTGAAATCACTTAGCCTCATAGTCAGTGTCACTGCGCATATTGATCTAAGTAATTTCTTAATCACACAAACTAAAGTGATTCCATCAAAATATGCTGCTCACCATCCCCATGGTCATAGTCAATAGCTACAAATGTAAAAATCAGGTCATCTGTTACTCGCTCTATCTGTTCAAATAGTTTTGCTATTGTTGCTTTTGTAATGAAATGTAAGTTTGGCTGTACAGAAGACTTCTTATGTATTTGACTTAGTGTCTGATTAATGTGTAGCATATTGAGAAGAAATTGATAAGCAATTTCGTGTGAAGTTATGTGGGAGTATTGTAAAAAGTACCGTACCAGATCTGTGATGGATTCTGTAGTATAGTTTTCACATTTTTTTTTTCACACAGCCATAATGCTGTTACATTTTAAAAAGTTACTTCTGGCTCTATAAAGATAAAATAAAAAGATAGGATCTACTTCCTATAGAGAACTATTGAGATGAGACATTACAGAGTCCATTCGAAATCTGGCCAAAATTATTAACTGTACATTACCTACAACTCATTGGAGGTGCATTCAGTATGTGGGTAATATTTCTAGTAAGTGTTTTTGTGGGCTGAGAACTGTCATAGGGGTATAGGTATAATGGAATTCAAATAATAGGAAGAGCTCAGAAACTTCTTTACAAAACTAAAGTGTTTGAGAACTTTCTCATTCTTGTAATTAAAGTGAGTCTTCTCCCACTTACAGCCTAAATTACTTTATCATAGGAAAGAAAACATTTTAATCTAGGATCATTAATTTAGTATTATTTAGCACCTTGCTTCTACTCCAAATCTCTAGTCTTTTCCTGCCTTTCTCATTTCTTTTAGTCTAGCAGATGATTACATTTTAGATACTCTGGCTGCCTTCAGTATGTATACATTGTCTGTGCAGATTTGGTAAACATTAATGTTTGTGAACTAATTAGAAAATTATTAGGTTTTCATGCTTATGGTGATTCATCAGATTATTTCAGAGGGTTTTAAAAGCTGCAGGCATGCCATGCAGATAATTAACCTGGAGCTCATCAATGATTAAAATTACACACTAAGCTTTGTGATGTTTGATTCGTGAGCAATTAGAATGACATTTTAACCATCTTAGATACCAAAATGAATTTTGATTTCATTTTCAATCTATGCAGGTCTTTTGATGTATTCGAAACTGATCACTTCCTCTCTGGTTTAGCTGGCAAGATTAAATTTGATTACAGTAAAGAGAATATTAAGAAGTTATTCTTCATATTTAATATGCCAGTGACCTTCACTGATGTCTTTCCTCTAGAAGAACTTTTAAAAAGGAATTTCTAAAATGCTGAGTAATACGGGTGAGCCCATTTGCTGCTTAAGCTCTCTGCCACCATGAAGTCTGTGCCATAGAACACAGGGGTGGGAGGGGCATCCAGGGTGAGTCACTGAGTGCTCATCCCACCCAATGTAGTACGTCATAATGTAAAATAGCCACGTCACCCTTTCTTGATTTCAGAAATTGTCAACCTGCGTGAAAGCGCTGACACTTTTACATTAAGGGGCTATTTGCCTTGAAGTTGTGAGTCCCATTCAATTTTGCGATTTGAAAGAAGATGCTGACCTGTTTCGTGAAATCGAGACAACGCCTATGTCAAAGGCTGAAAACAAACACTAGAAGTTTCAGACCACTCACCTCCTGTGTATGGGGCCATTGTTCTGCCAGCGGAGAGATCCGCAGGGACTCAGAGAGGCTCCAACCGCAATCCAGCTGCTGTGACAGTAGCTGAGGTTTGCAGGCACACACACACACACACACACACACACACACACACACACACACACACACACACACACACACACACACACACACACACACACACACACACACAGAAAGGGGAACTTATTTTTACCAATGTATGCCCAACTTTCCCCGGGTAACTTACCCTGCTATCAGAAACTGATATGGCTTTATAGGGTGCATCTCATTCTCAACAAAGGGAGTTTATGGTCTAACATGCTTGCCTGCAAAAACTAAAAAAAAAAAAAAAAATTGAAATATTTTCATCAGCAGTGCTTGCGTATGATTTGTTAAAGCCTACGGAGATGTTGATTGAGGCAGTGGTTGAGAGATGGGTAACTCCCCAGGATTGATAACATCAAAATGGTATTTGAAATAGTGTTCATTACGTACTGCAGTGGAAAAAAAAAAAGTGAATGCGATTGTCCCCTAGGATGATAGGACTGGTTGCAGTAAATATTAATTTTTGTTCCGTTGCCCATTGAGGTGACTGAAGTGTGGGGAAGAATTGTGATTGGTGCTTAATCAGGGCCAGCCAGATACCTGCTGAGAGCTTTTGCACAAGGAAGATTTGTAGTAAGCTGATTTACTGGCAAAATGAAAACCAGAGAAGAGTTGGGTCCGTGCTGCCTGTGACTGTAATATTTCTAATTTTAAGGTTCCTTTATTGTCGGTGTCCTTTCCACACTCAGCCCCCCCCCCCACTTCTAGTCACTGCCTGATAAAGTAAAAAGGTAAATTTTAAAAATTCCGACTTATTTGCGTTGTTCTTTGAATCCTGCTGTCGTCTTGTGAGAGTCATTTACATTCCTATTACGGTAAAGGGGGTTTGAAAGCTTTTATGGATATTATATACGTTTTCAGAAAACAGGAATAAAAAAGTACAGATTACTGATATAAATTTCAGATTTGTGATGAATGCTCGTAGCGATTTCAAAAACACTTCGGCTGTCTCGGCATGCCTGTGATAGCTATCTGCATTATTTTGCTACATTTATACAAAGTCTGTCTGTGATAGATAGGTATGCCCGTTTTGAGTTTTCCCCCTCACCTTTCTAGATAGTCAAGTTTACAGCAGCTGTAAATTAGTGATGGGCTATTAGTGAGCTGTGTCATTATTTAATAAAAATGGCTCCTCTCACCTTATTTTTTCTCCAG